GTCTGTATTTGTACAAATCGCTGCACAATCATTTAATCCAGAATTCCACAGACTCAAATTGAAAGGCATTTGTTTGTGTTTAAGATGCATGTATAAAATGTATGCAGTACATGGATAATTGTGCGTGCATCTATTAATCATTTTGAGTCTAATATCATCCCATAGGCTATAGCATGTAGCATTTCAGATGAAAATGGTGGCAGACTTCGATCGGCTCCTCCCCGTTTGATTGCATTCTTTTTCAATCCGCAGAGGCGCAGAGCGAGAAACAGAGGACAAGGTGTGTGTTTATCAATAGATTGTTATAATATCTGCATCTGTGCAGTTCTTTGTCATAAATACAGTTTACAAAATATCATGGGGGAGCAATCGGTTCCCCATCTACTGTAGCCTAAGTTTTCGCTGCGTTCGCCCCTCATCACACCACAGGTTTCCTCCAGTGAAATAGAAGCACATATGAACGCATATAAGCCTACTTTATAAAACGATGTTGCCATTTTATATATATGTAAAATGGCAACATTGAATGCAATATATAACAATATAACAATAACAATATATATATTATACCCTCATTGGGGGCTGAGCCCCCCCTAAAATGAAAATCCTGGAATCGCCCCTGATTACAAAGATTACTGACATGTTCACCAGAATTTAAAAAACACATGGTTCCAAATGAACTGAACAAGATCGACTCGAACTAGACGTCAATTAATGCACGCGTGTCACCTGAACCACATATGCACAGATTCCTTTTTTGATTGCGTTCTTTTTCAATCCGCAGAGGCGCAGAGCGAGAAACAGAGGACAAGGTGTGTGTTTATCAATAGATTGTTATAATATCTGCATCTGTGCAGTTCTTTGTCATTACAAAGATTACTGACATGTTCACCAATGAAAATGAAGTCTCAAAATCCAAATGAACTGAACAAGATCGACTCGAACAGTCTATAGTCAATCTATATATACAGTCAATCTATATATACAATAACAATATATATTATACCCTCACTGGGGGCTGAGCCCCCCCTAAAATGAAAATCCTGGAATCGCCCCTGATTACAAAGATTACTGACATGTTCACCAGAATTTAAAAAACACATGGTTCACTTCTGCTTTAAACGCGCATATTAATAAATTTATTAATATTATCTAAAATTATCTAAATTACATGCAGCAGATACTTTCTTGATTATAAAATACAGTTTGCAAACACACCTGACATACTTGAATGATACACTCTTTTTGCCATGTTTTAAGTGAAAAATGAGCAATGCTAATATAGCTTTATAACACTCAGAACACTTACAAAGCGTTAAGATGAACAGACCTTTGTGTCAGACTCAGACAGTATATGAAATATACAATTTGAAATGCATATTCAGGAATAAAACAGTATTTACAAATACCACAGTGACTCTAAAATATTGAATTTCAGCTAAATAAAACTGCATATTCATACTCTCATGAAGACACCTGTTCACCGTCAAAAGCGTCTATATGGGATCATATTCCTGCCAAATGTATTGCAGTCACGGATAAAAAAAATAACAAGTGTGAAACCAAAATTTAAAAACGCAAATAAAATTATATTGCACAAAATTTAAAAATGAAAGAAAAGTTTTCAGAATAGCAAACAATGGTCACGGATCAAAAAATAATGTGTAAATCAAAAATTTAATAACGCATTAAAAAGAAATAATAAGCACGAATCTAAACTTTAAAAACATTTAAAATCATATTGCACAACACTGAAATATAAATGCAAAATTATCCGAATTGCACACAAAATCATGTTTTCCTTGGTTATATTTCTCTGTTTTTTGTGCTTTCAGACATTTTCTGCACATTTTAATTTTTTGTATGCTTATGAGTGTTCTGTTCACTTGTACTGGTGAAAATGGACAACTGTCGGCTGGGAACATTTTTCCATACAGGACACCGTTATATGTGTCTGTCTGTCACTGCTGTATGCCTACCTGGCGATCCATTAATGTTAAATGAGTAAATCGGTAAATTAATTTGGAATTAATGTAATGGTTTTGCATTGAAAACGATAGTGCTACAGAGTAGACCGTTACAGAGGCCAGGTGGATTTGATATACACAATGATTTATTGTGTTGTGTTTTTATTTGCATAGCTACATATATAATTGCCTAACACTATCATATTAAGTTCTACATAACAACAATATGAAAGTAAAACAGCCAGTAGGTGGCGGTAAGTTACTGTCTTTAAAATAAGACATTGAGGGTGCATTCACACCTGTCTTGTTTGGTTCGATTGAATCGAACTCAAGTTCGTTTCCCCTCTTGATGCGGACCTTTTTGGCAGGTGTGAATACAGCAATCGCACTCGGGTGCGGACCAAACAACCGCACCAAGACCCAGCTGAAGAGGTGGTCTCGGTCCGCTTCCAAACGAACTCTGGTACCATGACTATGTTAGGGGAAAATAGTAAGGAGATATTTGAATTTATTAATAAACTAGTGTTTTATGAGTCAGTGTCACAAAGATGAAGTTGATGATCCTGACTCGCCATCTCACGCGCCTTCAGAAAGAAATGCATCTTTACGGATTACATAATAATAAATAGTTTTTGTTTTGGATTTTAATTATTTCGTTTTGTAGTCATTTAAAGGGGTCCTATTATGCTCTTTTACAAAGTATTGATTATGTTTTGGGGGTGTACTAGAACATGCTCTCATGCTTGGTGGTTCGAAAAACGCATTATTTTTCACATAATTTACATTATTAAAATACCTTTCTCCCCAGCCTGGCACAAACGGCTCGATTAGTTCCGGCTTTGATGAAGGTCCACCCTCCGAAAAACAAAATCTGTTGTGATTGGTTAGCTGTCCCAGTGCATTGTGATTGGCGAACAGCTTAGACTGTGTTTCAGTACTGCCACGCCCCTTGCTCCGTCTTTCAACAAAAACTTTTGGGCGAATCCCTCTGTTGTGGAAGCTGTCCTCAGTAAAATGCGCAGCACACAATAGCAAATTGGGGTTATAATGCTCAGGAACAGAGTTAAAAAATAAATTGCAACCACTGTTTCCTGACATCATCCGCTTTCGGAAACCCAAACAAAGACGTTTGGGCACGGAGGTGAAAAAAAACAGCGTTTCAGGCGGTCGCACACCGGACAAGAAGCGCAGCGTCGCGTCGTGCCACATCTTTAAAATTCAAATACATTATTTTCTATGAGTGTAGGCACACCGGCGGCGCCGTGCGGCGTCTGTCCGCGGCGCCCAGCTACGTCGTGTTATACTTGTAAGAATTGTTCTAGACATGCCGAAAATTTGACGCTACAGCACAGCAGCTCTTCTTCTTCGTTTACATTTGGGCGGCGTTATGCAAATCTTCCCACATAGTGAGGTAGGTATGTGGGGGCGTGTTAGAATGAGCCGTTTTAGGTAGGCGTGGTTAACTCTTAACTTTTATAAAGAATATCTCTTTGGTTTTGAGACTTTAGTCTTTGCAACTTTACAAATCTTTATGCACCCAAGAGCTTGTAACACTCCAAAGAGAAAGGAAAAATTGAAATCGCATCATATGACCCCTTTAAAGGTCACATATTTTACACCTTTCTGGAGTTTTATTTTAAGTCATGATGTCCTTAAGAATATATATATTTGCGGTATAAGTACCAAAAACCATCTCAATATATTACAGCTCCTCTCTCATGAGCTCTGCAAAGAACAGGTCGATTTTGGCCTGTCTAATTAATTCATGAGCCTCTATTCTGATCGGCCTGTTGTTTTCTGAGTGACTCACGGCCAGGCCAACCACAGGTAACTAGGGTCATGTATGCTGTAGCCTGCTGTGGATTGGTGATACTCACAAGTAAGGTCAATAGAAACACCGGTAATGATGGTCACTGCTGAGGGAAATGTTGTCCGGCCTTACATGTTTGAGCCGAACTCAGACCCCGAATCGGCGACGACAGGAGACAACCAACCACCTCCTCAAACGCGCTTACAACAGGATGTTTCAGAATGGTAATTCATGTTTTTTTTTTTGTTCTGCATTAAAAGCAGAACCATTGTCAGCTATGCATAAACAACGTTACCTTCATGTTTAACTTCATGTAAACTTCTCCTTCAAAAAAGAAACCTAGCACACCTCATGTCTAAGGCTAATATGGTAAAAACCATCTAATATGCTCAATCAACTAAACAGTATTTTAGGAAGGAATGGGGGCAGGCACTTTATTAGCATCAGATGTAGCATGTGATTCCTGCTCCAGTTCAAAGGTCACATTCACAAAAGAAGCAGTTCCTTCTGGTTGCTCGATCTTTGGCTGCTGGCCGTCCTGATTGTGCTGCTCCTCAAAACGACGTTCTGCCTCCTCAGAGAGATGGTTCTCCTCCTCTTCTTCCTCCTCCTGCGGATTACACATTATTAGGGTGTCACAATGCGAAAGCTGTTCAAATCGCTCAAAGCATGTACAACAATAATTGTACATGCTACTTTTGAGAATATCAGCTAATAAATGAAGGCTGTAGCGGTGTACATACCTCTTTCTTCATCCTGTAGTACTCATCAATTGCATACTGATATTTTGGTGTCGTGATTCCCAGCAGTGAGGCCATTTTCTCTCCAAGATAGTCACAAACTGAAATATTTGGGTTGAAATGTACATTTTGGACTGTTTTTGTATGATTAAATGTCACAGGCTGGAAAGAGTTTCATTACCTGAGATGGATGAGGTAGCCACTCTCCACATTTGGAACCAGACATATGGACCCCAGGTCAACTTTGACTATAATCAGAGATGCAAAGTGACTAAGATGTTCAGATTATTAAAAAGAAGCAACTGAAACTACACTTCTATTTAAAGGTCCCATATTTTACGCCTTTCTGGAGTTTTATTTTAGGTTTTGATGTCCTTAAGAATATATATTTGCGGTATAAGTACCAAAAACCATCTCAATATATTTTTACAGCTCCTCTCTCAGGAGCTCTGCAAAGAACAGGTCGATTTTGGCCTGTCTGATTAATATTCATGAGCCTCTCTTCTGATTGGCCTGTTGTTTTCTGAGTGACGCACGGCCAGGCCAACCACAGGTAACTAGGGTCATGTATGCTGTAGCCTGCTGTGGATTGGTGATACTCACAAGTAAGGTCAATAGAAACACCGGAAATTATGGTCAATACTGAGGGAAATGTTGTCCGGCCTTACATGTTTGAGCCGAACTCAGACCCCGAATCGGCGACGACAGGAGACAACCAACCACCTCCTCAAACCCGCTTACAACAGGATGATTCAAAATGGTAATTCATGTTTTGTTTTTTTTCAAACACCAAATGCAGTAAATACAAACCTGACCAGACGAGTGTTTGCGATCACGTGAACTTGAAGACACTTGTACAAATGCGGATGGGTGACATGAATGGAAATGATTCCAGACTGGCGATGTAGTATTTGGTTTCTGTATTCTGTACTGTATTTTCCTGCGCTCAAACCTGCCAATCTAAAGGATCAAACGCAGTGTATGGCGTTTGAGGTAATTTGTGAATTAGCATAGACTTATAGTCTAAATAAAACAATTTGCAACTGTTACTATTATTACACTTGTATACAAAACTTTGTATTATTACTGTGCAATGATGTAGTTTCCTGACATCCAGACTGAACAGCGTTTTCTCTACATGTTTCCGTGTTGTTGTTGCTCAGCAATGGCATGGACGCATGTTGTCTGGGGGTTTGGCAAATGGAGAGTGGGACTGTGGGCAGTGCTCGGGGTGGTGACTGAAGGCGGTGACTGAGTAGTTCTGACGTCAGCTTTTTTACGGAAGTCACAATGGTTCGTGAAAAATCACAGCTACTTTATGCAGGCTGTGTGCATTTAACTGTATGTCATAAAATAAATTATAGTGCCATTCTTTACAAACAACATTTATTTTAAATGCTAAGCCTATAACTCGTTTAAAACAAAACTAAAAACTGAACCTCCTGCTGGGCTCATTTAACTCTCATTTCCATGAGTGAATCGTTAGACGTGGTGTAACATTTGGTTGATAAACTATAAGCCTATTTATTTTGTAAAGAAGGCTTTGTACTTCTCGTATCTGTATATCTACTTAAACAACATCCTTCACATATGCAATAAATTTGTTTGGAAAACACCACGGCATGGTGATGCTCGCGCTGACCAGCAAAACCTAAATATTGTACAAAAGACAAGCTAAATTGAGTCACCAATACCTTTTGTATGTTTAGTTGTCTCATTTACTTTGATGATGAAGAGGCTGCGATGTAAAGTTTGCAATGCTAGAACTGATTATGTTGTGTGCTCCGGCACGAACACTTGGGTTACTCACATCAGCGGAAAGATGTGATATCCGTCAGATAGGAGCAAGACATCATTCAAAACTATCTATTTTTTTATCTGTGTACCTTCAAAACAACAGTGAAACGTTGTACTTTTGTAAAATACAGAAAACATACAAAATGCACTTGCCGTCTCTGTGAACCTCTTCTTGAAATGAAGAAAAACTCAGCGATACTGTCTAACGTTATTGTCACACAGAATGAGAAATATATTTATAGAAACCTTGAAGTGCCCGCTTTTACCCGTTTACGTTTTGCTTATTTGACATTAAATGCATTATATAAGTCACTTTGGAATATAAATCATAGCACGTTCAGAAGATAAAAAATGCAATGTGTAGTCCGGAAAATACAGTATAGCAAATTATTTTGCGGGACCCCCTGGCTTTGGGTCACGACACGGACCCCAGTTTGAAAACCCCTGCTCTTACTCATATTATCCTCTCCTAACAGTAATAACCATAATAAGACTTATAATCAGTCAAGTAAAGGCGAGCCAGGCACATCAGTCACTTCGCGAGGCCGGTGCATTTAGTGGCTGATCCCTTTCGCGGTGTGACCGGAGGCGAATAAATACAGGTGAATACAACCGCGACAGGTCGCTAGGACGGCTCATTTAATGTTAACGGATCGCCAGGTAGGCGTACAGTAGTGACAGACAGACACATATAACGGTGTCCTGTATGGAAAGATGTTTCCCAGCCGACAGTTGTCCATTTTCACCTGTACAAGTGAACAGAACACTGAGCATAGGCAGTAATGAGGCGCGTTGGAGTGACGTCACCGCCCCTCTTCGACTGACTGGCTAGAGGAGGAGCTGTCAATCTAGAACTAGTG